AACCCTAAACCCTAAACCGGGATATATACCGTGGACCCGTAGGAGAGTTCACGTCCCCCAACTGCAGTGCAGGAGTTTGGGCCTTGCTACATGTAACCTGGGATACAGGGTTTAGGGTTTGGTGTTTAGGGCTAACGCTTAACCCCAAACCCTTATCCCTTGGGCCTCCAACCTGAAACCCTAACCCCTAAACCCTAGACTCTAGACCCTACCAAGGGCCCCAACTAGGGAAAAGCGTATGCCCGGGACCCAGTCGTTAGGGTTTACGGTTAAGGGTTTATAAGGCTTTAGGGCCAGCGTTTAAGACTGGATCCCGGCAGTGTATCCAGAAGAGGGTTTAGGTCTCTCTAGAGTAGCTAATCACGATGGTCGCTCTAACCGAATGCTTATTTCCCCTAATTTCGACTATGCGCCAAGAAGTGTCTACGCCAGATCCCCAAACCCTAAAACCTACTTGTACTGACCCCACACCACATGAACTCCAAACCCTATAAACCCTAATGCAAAGGTGTGCCTTGTCAGAGGCTTCAATGTGCCGCGTATCTTTTAGCAGCTCCTGCACATGGCGGCTGTCACCGCCGGTAGCCTCATTCCACAAGAAACTTTCCGAAAATCAGGAGTGCTATAGGGGATATACGAGGATATATGCGGGAATTTCTGAAGATCAAAGTTTTTTTCAAAGCGGTTGGAGGAATAGGGGATATGAGGATACATCGGGATGTATAGGGTTGAGTTCCCCAGCGCATATTTGCACAAGAAGCCTGGACCATGAGGACAAAGTAAAAGTAACAGTGACAGCAGTAATGACAGAGAGTTTTATGGTAATTTCAGAACCAGAAAGCATTGCAAACTTGACACTGTTCTCCCTTGGCATTGTTATACGACATTTTTTACCACAATTTTGGGCAAGGTTGGGTCAGGTCACTGCAATTCGCCCCGGAAAGGAACTTCTTCCGTTGAGCCTGGAAAGCCCTAAGCCCTCCTAAAACCGACGGTACCCCTCAAGTAGATTGAATATGGCTTTGGGTACATTATAACAAGATCCCCATATACTCCCATATTCTATCTACTTAAGGGGGACTATAAACCCTAAACCCTAAACCCCTAATGAATATCTACTTAAGGGGAACTCTTAAACACTTCGCTAGAAAAAAACTGAGATTTCAAGTGCCGACAAGTTCTAAGCCCTGAGTCTTACACCTTCAGCTCCCAAAGTCTCGGTTGTTGAGGCTTTAGGGCTTAGGGTTTAGGGTTGATTTAGGGTTTAGGGCCTAAACCCTAAACCCTAAACCCCTTAACCCTAAACCCTTAATCCCCAAACCCTTAAACCCTAAAACCCAAAACCAGTTTAAGGTTTATAAGAGCCCCACCTTAACGCAGTGCAAGGCCAGGAGCCGCGTCGCCCCAGGTGACCACGGTTCCATCTGCCAAGAGTGCTGCAAACGCAGAGCGGGTCGCGCTGATGACCTGGTAGCGTCTGAGGGTTTAGGGGTTTAGGGGTTTAGGGTTTCAGGTTTAGGGTTTAGGGGTTTAGGGTTTCAGGTTTGGGGTTTAGGGGTTTAGGGTTTCAGGTTTAGGGTTTACCTAGACTTTTTCAAGCATTGTCTGTACACCCTAAGTATCCCACAAGTAGGACCTACATAGACCCTATTTTAGGGTACTTGAGGGGGTCTTGGTGGGGCCTTCAGGCACAGAACTAGCCCGTAGTATGAGGATGGACATGCCCAAGCAATGTGTAAGAGCTTTGGACCTGGTGTCGTGTTGAAAACATGTCGGCAAAAGGCTTTTAAGTTAAAGGCGTTCCAACCAAGTCCGTGCAGGCTATCCTGATAGAGTATGCCAGTTTGGGGTTTCAGGGTTTAGGATGCATAGAGGTGCGCCAAGTACAGGCCCGCAGGTGAGTGCTTTGCGAAGAGCACCTCGCTGAAACGCAAGAAGAAAGCTGCCTAAGGCATACTAAGAATTAGGGGTACCATTTTGGGGGTCCCCATACTAAGGACTATAGTATATTGGGTCTATTTTGGGGCCCCTTGCTCGGGAAACTACAATATACCATAATTCCCACAAAATGAGGACTGTTACTAATCTGTCTTAAGGTCCGCATTCTAAAAGGTTTATGTACCCCGAAAAGCCTACACCCTTGTCAGAACGCCCTCGCGACGAACCCTGATGCTTTGCAGGGAATGGAATACCCGGAGATCCGTGGCATGAGAAATGCGTTTTGGCAGTTGAAGCAGTAAGAATCCATTTTCTTGTACCCCAGAAAATTACTGTCCATGTGGGCTATAGTGTCCCCAATGTTTTCCCTTGTAACAGACCCTCCCACCCCCAAAAAATGTCATAATCTTCCTTCCCATTGCGGACCATCGCCTGAATAAATGTTTGGGCTACCCTACCTGCAACGCCCTCCCCTGAACCCTAAGCCTTACACCCCCCTCAACACTAATCATAGGGGAGTTGTGGTTTCCGACACTTCCATTGCAACATGGGGTGTCCTCTGGACAAGGGCTGCCATGCTAAGAATGTCCCATTTCTTGCGGCCGCAGAGTTTTCCACTCCCTACCAATCATCTGGTATTTCTGACGACCTGGACTCTAACTCAGTCATGGTTTAAGGCTTAGGGCTTCGGGTCTCTAACTTTATAATTCGTGTAATCGTATAACCCGTGAGGGACCTAGGAGGCTTTTGGCGTATAATGACTTTACACGTGTAGTGGGAAGTAGGCCGTCCAAGCCCTGCAGCCAAAGGATCCCCCAGTAGCAGTATTGCTGCTACCCAGTCCGTTTACTAAGCCCTAAACCCTAAGTCACATAACAGTTTTGATTTCCATTTCCATTCCCTAGTAGCCAAAGTACTTTCGCCAGCCCCGGGCTCAAACCCAATTATGATGGTTTAGGGTTTAGGGTATAGGGCTCAGGGTTTCAGGTTTGGATGTTTAGGGTTTAGGGATTTAGGAGTTTAGGATTTAGGGGTTTTGGGATTTAGGGTTTAGGGATTTAGGGTCATTAGCCCACACCCCTGATTAACAAACCCCTTCCCTTTCAGAGGGATTATAACAGGGATCCTAGTGTTTAGGCCCTGAAATGGACGGGGGTTTGTCAATCATGGGTCAACATTACCCTGAACCCTAAACCCTGAGCCCTGAGCCCTGAGCCCTGAACCCTAAACCCTGAACCCTAAACCCTGAACTCTAAACCCTAAACCCTACACCCTGAACCCTAAACCCTGAACCCTACACCCTGAACCCTGGACCCTAAACCCTGCACCCTGAACCCTAAACCCTGATGCCCATGGCCTGCACGTTCCGGAGCTGCGCCTCCACGGATCGGGTGTGTCCGTGGGAGGTCGCATCCCCTTAGTCCAAGGAACCCAAAGGGTCCAAGGACCCAAATAATAGGGTCCCTTTAAAAGGGTTATAGATGGTTATAGGGGTATATAGGGTTTAGGGTTTAGGGTCCAAGGACCCAAATAATAGGGT